TGGAGATTCCTGATCAGGCACAGGGACCTGGGACCCTGTGCTCGTCCCCAGCCAGGGGGACAGCTGTTTCTGTCCTTGACTCACCTGGGTGAGCTGTCCCTCCCTGGCCTTAAACTTTTTCAACTGTTTAAACTTAAAAACTGTGCATACTGCATTGTTTTATGATGTCTTTAAGATCTGCCTCCTGGACTAAGGCCTCAGTCTCCATCACACAGTCACTCTGGGAACCCGGAAGCTGCCTATCTGTTTCTTCTGAGCTTGATTCCCCATCTGCAGAGTGGGGATCATAAGAGTAACTAACTCTTCTGCGGTACATGCTGAGTGCTCTATCTCAGCCATTTTGGGAAATAGCTAAGAAATACTTGAGCAGTTCAAGGGGAGGAGTCAGGAGTCAATTCCCCTCCCACAGGCCGAGGAGGAGCTTTTTAAATAGGGGAGGTGGGAATGTCTTTCACCCTCTCTCTCCCTTTTTTGCTTCACAAATCTCTAAACCCTGGGTGGACAGCGTGGGACAGGGATGCTCAATATCCTCCCCCGCCGACCTCGCCATCAAGCCCACCATCACCCCCTTCCTGCACTGTAAGTTTAATTAATGCAATTAACATTTACAGGGTGCCAGGAAATAGTTCTGCTGCTGGTACCAGCCTGGAGGAAATGAATGACATCACTTCTCAGGTTTATAGCTGGGTTGTGGGGAGTCCCTGGGCCGCCTCCTCCCTGAGTCTAATTGGGGGTGCCACCCACCCCTCTGTCTGCCACATTGCATTTGGACACGTCTGACCTGGTTCAGTCAGGACACAAGCATCCTGCACTAATGAGGCAGGGTCTTACAGGGGGAACCTTGCCTGTGAGCCCACCCAGCATCGCTGACTGCCCCGAAGTCACGTGCTGGACCCCAGCCTCTGGGAAAGGGTCAGAGTTCACCTGTGTCACGAGGTTGGACCACCACCTCCTGTGAAGGTGAACACTCAGCTGGTGTTAAGTCCCTCAGCCATACAGCTCCCAAAGCTGGAACGGATGGTGCATTGTTCACAACTCTTCTCGAGCACAACAGTTCCAGGCACGTGCCCTGCATTGCCTGGGCATGAGTTTGGCACTGCCACTTTGCTGGGTGACTTAATTCATCTGAGCCTGTTGAGAGCAGGTAGATGAGAGGACTTGCCTCGGGTTGGGGTGGGGGTTATTAAGAGGTGTCAGTTCTGCCTTTAACAGACAGGAGGGGCCTGGGATGTGCTAACAGCCAAGTGGCAAGTGTCCTGGAGCTGGTGTGTCAGCCCCTCTGGGAAAATCCCTGGGGAAGATGCCACCTCTCAGGGTTGGGATCCCTCTAGATAAAGGAACTGGCTTGTGTTGGGGGCCACATTATCTGGGAAATGCCAATTTTGACTCATTAGAAGCCAAACAACTTCATGAGGGAGATGTATTATCTACCATTACAAACCAATCCCTGGTGCTAAGATCTTCTCTTGCCAAAAACATGTGGTTAAAATTCACGCCTTCTTCCCTGGGAGCATTCTTTTGAATGAGTACGTATTATGTTGCCTAACCTCAGTTTGCTCATCTGTTATACAGGGATAACATTAATGTTATGTAAGGATTAAGTGAATTCATACAGGTAAAGCACAGAAGGGTGCCTGGCATATGGTAGTAAATACTGAGAAAAGTGATCAAGATTTGTGGATCTTCGTGAGGGCCAGATGATTACTTATGGAAGCCTTTGAGAGAAGCCTTCCTTGTTTTGACCTGTGGTTTCTGAAATCTGAATATGTGATGGGGCTTCCAGGTTGAGGGCCTCAACAGTAGCACATGCCTGCAGCTGTTTGGGTCATGTGTATAATGTAGAGGAGATACATAATGTGGGTAAAATGTTAAGGAATGGAGCTGGGCATCTTTAAATCTTGCCAGTTCTGGACTCTAGTGTATCTGTGTTGTAACTAGTGAAGTGAAAGTGAAAGTTGCACAGCCGTGTCCGACTCTATGCGACCCCATGGATTATACAGTCCATGGAATTCTCCAGGCCAGAATACTGGCATGGGTAGTTGGCTCCCTACTCCAGGAGATCTTCCCAACCCAGGGATTGAACCCAGGTCTCCTGCATTGCAGGTGGATTCTTTACCAGCTGAGCCACGAGGGAAGCCCAGGAATACTGGAGTGGGTAGCCTATCCCTTCTCCAAGAGATCTTCCCAACCCAGGAATCTAATGTCATTGCAAATTCTGGTTGGTGAAAACTACAGGGAAGGAACTTTTAATGAAATCACATTGAATGACGCCACTGGAAGTAAGAATATTTTACCTACCTAGCTCACCCCAGGGCACCCAGGCAGTTGGTCATACAGCAGGTTGGTTTCCTTCCCTGAATCTTCCTCCAGTCCCTGTGGGTTTGGTTCTAGGGGCAGATTTTTTCCTGACTGTTGAGATCTGGCTTTGGGAAGGAGCTCTGCTCACCTGTCGATCCCTCCAGCAGACTGGCAGACAAGTTGGCACTTCTGAGGCTCCAGGGAAGCCTGAGGTGGTTAGTCATAGTTAATCATTGTCTGCTCTGGGCTGCAGGCTCCAAATGGGTCTGTCTAGGAGGGAGATTCCTGTTGACCCAGGTGGGGACTGTCTGAGGGAGCTCTGAGCCCCGCATAAGAGGGAAGCCTTGTCCCTAGACTTCAGCCTCTGACCTGCTACCCGCTCCTGACCGAAGCCCTGTCTTCAGTCTGCCCCTCTCCCCTCCCCAGAGCTCGCTGTGGAGCCTCCTGCTGTCTTGCACCCCACGGCCAAGTCTCCCATCCTCTGCCCGGCCATCGAAGTTACTTAGTTCACTGGTTTGGCCTGAGGCAAAACACTGGAAATTAATGATTACTCTGAACTACACTCCAGCAGTTTTCCTGAGATACTGGCCACTTGGACTGACAGGAACTGGCCATGGGGTCAGACAACTTGTTCTTCCGGGTCAGGGCTTGAGAGTAAAAAAGGGCTAGAGAAGCAGCTAATCAGGCTGGGTTAGGCAGTCCTCCTTTTCCTTGGGGCTGGTAAGATTCCTTAATATGAACTGAGTGAAAATATACCAGGAACTGTGAACCTGCACACTCTGGGCCACTTGGGTTGGTTAAATGCTCTGTATCAGTGTATGCATTTGTGACCCAGGCTGTATTTTTTTTTTTCCTTTTCACTGATCTGCTCAAAATCCAGCTTGCAGAATTTCTGTCAAACCCCGGGCTCCACAGCGAAAGAACTAACCACTGGACTGCCAGGGAATTCCAAGGCAGTGTTTCTTTAACTTGGATATTGATTACCAAGGGATCCTGTGAAAATGTTGATCCTGATTTAGTAGGTGCCTGAGAATTCTGCAGGATGATTCCATGGTCCCTCTGCCTTGTGGGGAGTATCAGGTTTACTTACCTGGGGGATGGACTGGTTCCCAGGGTGGAATTGAGAATCCATGCTGCTGCTAAGTCTCTTCAGGCGTGTCTGACTCTGTGCGACCCCATAGATGGCAGCCCATCAGGCTCCCCCGTCCGTGGGATTCTCCAGGCAAGAATACTGGAGTGGGTTGCCATTTCCTTCTCCAATGCATGAAAATGAAAAGGGAAAGTGCAGTCGCTCAGTCGTGTCCGACTTGTAGTGACCCCATGGACTGCAGCCTACCAGGCTCCTCCATCCATGGGATTTTCCAGGCAAGAGTACTGGAGTGGGTTGCCATTGCCAGGACATTGCATATCCACCCGGGGGCACTGAGAAGTTCATCAGTGAGCCCCACAGCGCCCCCTGGTGGGTGTGCTGGCAGCATCCCCACTGCAGCTCACAGCATACCCACTGCAGCTCACAGCCCTGTAGCCTAGATGATGGTTCTAGAAGGTACCCTGGGAGGCTTGCTTGGGTCATTGGGTACTATGTGGTGAGTCTGTCTCCATGATAGGGAATACAGGCCAGGAGTGCTCAGCGCCCATAGGCAGCTGTTAGCTGGGGAAATTTCACAAGCAGGGTTCCAGGACCAGGAGGCTGTGGCACCTTTCCTCTTTCATGTGAGGTTTTTATTTAATGTTTAAGGCTGACCAGGTCTGTGGGTCAGTTTACCTGTTCTATAAAATGGGCCCACAATCACATTCAGAGGAATAAATGAGAGCAAGGTGCATGTTCTTGAGGCCAACATGTTGCAGGCAGTAGGGTCAGGTCAAAGGTCGCAGAGCTCTCCAATGCATGCCTGAAGACCTGTCTGGAGCTGGTCTTAGCTTAATAGCCTAGAGATGTTGCACTTACCAGGGTGGGCAGGGGTGGGGAGGCAAAGGCCCAGAGGTGAGGTGGGGTTGGAGCAGATGGGGAACATGTTCCTGGATAACCCATCCCAGTCCTTCTCCCTGTGTCTCCTCCATTCCTTCCCTTCTTGGGAACTTGGGACTCTGAGCCCCAGCTGGTAAGGGAGGAGGAGAGTGAGCGACAGGCCAGCAGACCAATGGGCCCCCGAGGTTGTGATAGGGCGGGGCTTGTGCTGCCATGGAGAAGAGAGAAGCTGTTCTGTGGGGGAGGAGGGGACGGTGGGAAGAGGACCTGGAGATTGAGGGGAAGGGAGAGAGCAAACAAAGGGGTCAGGAGGGAAAATAATGCACTGACTTCCCGAGGCCCTGCAGAGACTGGGCAGGGAGAGCGCGCCAGGGGCAGAGGGGACCAAGGCTGGCGGCAGGCAGGCCGGCCTTAGATGGCATTGTTTGAAGTGGCCGGCTAATTGCACAGAGCAGCCTGAGCCTCAGACCACGGCCCAGCCCCCTCCTCTGTCCTGGGTGCTGGCTTCTGAGCCTTCGGGTCGAGTGGCCACATGGAACCAAGTCCCGAGCCTCCGAGTTTGGTGAGGGGGGCAGGCTTTGGGGGGCGGCCTGGGTGGGGTCCTGAGAACCACTGACAGGCCCTCTCTTGGCCTGAGGACTTGGCTACACTGGCAGAGGTTTGGGGGCACACTACCCCCTTCCACCCTTGCATCTCTGCTACCCTCCTCACTCTGGCCTTCCGACAGGAAACAATGAAGGGAGACACCAGACAACTCAACGGAGAGGAGGACGCCAGCAGGAGGGAAGACTCCATCCTCACCAATGGGGGCTGCAGCGACCAGTCTTCTGACTCCAAGGATGCGCCCTCGCCCCCGATCCTGGAGGCTATCAGCACCCCTGAGATCCGAGGTGGCAGAGGTGGCAGAGGTGGTGTGCCCTGTGGGGAGGAGGGGAGGGGAGGGTGGTTATGGTGGACCACAGCTGGGACACGGGCCCCGAGCAGGCTCGGGGCAGGCTGTGACGACCTGTGCCTCTGACGGCCCCTGCCCCAGCCCCAGGGAAGGGAAGAGCTGCTGCCTGTTCTCCTGTCACCTCCTCTGGGACAGAGTAGGTGACCCCAAGCCAATGAGCCCTTCTGTACCAGACAAGGGGGTGGACACAGCACAGGTAGACTGGGGTCTCTGACACTTCTGTGGGGGACACCCCTCTCCACTGGCAGCTTGGCCTGTCATTTTTCTGGGAGGAAATAGAGGCAGCTAGCATCTCAGGCTTGCTGCCAGTCTCCCACCCTTTCTCTCTTCCCCTCCCCTCTGCTGCTCCCGGATCACATCACCTGGGATCCTCCCTGCTGAGATTTTCTGGCCCAGCTGGTTTGGAAACCCCTGTATTGTCTCATCCTGCTGTCAAGAGAACTCTTCAAGTTACGCCTTCCCGTAGAACTTTCTAGAGGGTGAAAGTATTCTCTTTCTGCATTGTTCACACAACAGCGAGGAGCCACATGTGAGCACTTAATGTGGCTGCGATGGCAGGCACTGGGTTGCTCCTTCAGTAGAATCAGTGGCCGCTGATTTGGGCAGCATAGGAAGGAACTGTTCAAGGGCTAGGAGTTAACCCCTGAGGATGTCAGTGGGTTTAGGGAGACCAGGAGAGCCCCTTCTTCACAACAGACTCTGGTTCTTTCTTCCAGGCCGCAGATCAAGCTCACGACTGTCCAAGAGGGAGGTCTCCAGCCTGCTAAGTTATACTCAGGTACTGGTTCTGTGGTCACGTTTCTGGGGTTCAGGGGAACTCTATGGTTTGCATATTAAGTAGGGAACCTGAGTCCCACTGGTGTATTTGCTGGTGGCCAGCAAATACTTGCTGAATGAGGAATTTCAACACTGCTAGGTACACAGAAGACTTAGAACAACCTCACTTAGAATGGCATTTGCTGCTGTCACATGCTGAGTTTTTGAAATGAATATTTTTCTCAATCTGGATGATCAATTGGACTGATAAATTTATACTGTAACAAGATTTTTTTTTTAATCCCCGAAAGGAATCCAGCTTGCTCATGGTATGTTTTGAATTGGATCTATTTTGGAATTTAACATCTATTCATGAGTAAAATGAATGTATGATTTTATTTCTTGTAATACACCTGTGTCTGGTTTGATAGTAAGATTGTGTGGCCCTGTGAACTCAAGGATTTTTTTTCCTTTTGGAAAGAAGGTGCCTGCCTTATTAGGGGATTTTCAACAATCACTGAAATCTTTTACCAATGTTGCAATGGCAAGGTTTCTACTTGATTACTTTTTTCCAAGTTGTAGCTTTTCCATGTTTTTTTTTTTTTTTCCTACTCCTGACACTATTTATGCCTTCTGTTTTCCTATGAATCATATTAGAGTTTTGTTAATTCAGTTAATTTTTTCAAAGGATTGGTATCGGGCATTGGGGACAAAGTCACATTGTAGACAATGAAAACTCCCCCTCATACGGCTTGTCTTGTCCTCATGGAGGACCACCAGTGGGCACCCAGATAATGAGGATCAGGAGCTGTGGGGACCTGGTAGGGACAGCACTGGAACAGAGGCTCAGAACAGATATTCTGATCTCTTGGAACTTCCTCTGTGCCCTGCCTTGGCAAGCATGCTTTGCCAAGCATGCAAGCATGCATTACTTGATTCTCACTATAACTCTGTTGTGCTATAAGGGAAGAACCACTGTACTAGTTTTAAAGAGAGGAATGGACCCACTCAGTACCTTAGTTGGCAAGGGAAAAGTCAAGTTCTTAACACGCTGGCCAGACATCAGACCACTCTCCACCTCTCTGGCTCTTGTGCTCAGTTTTTGTTGGGTTTGGTGTGCAGCATGGGGCGTGTACTTCACACAGGACTGGTGCCATTTCTTCTTGGTTATTGTATCAGGAAGCATCTTCCTCAAGCCTGTTTCTCCCAGATGTTGTTAATTGTGGAAACTGACCAGGTCTCCCTGCTGGGCATAGCAAGTTAGTCTAACCATGAAATCATGATTTTGAATTCAGGAGAAACCCCAGTGGAATTAGAAAACCAAAGAAAAGGTATCAATGCAGAGGGCATCGTGAAGCCTTTTGTGCCCATACCTATAAAATCTTTTGAACAAAATGAGGCTGTAGATCTTTAAAGTCACTCAGACCAATATTGCTTTCAATATGATTGACTCTTCGTTTTTAAACTATTTCGGTTATATGACACCTAAAATTCACAATTTTTCATTTTTAAAGGACCTGACGGGTGATGGAGATGGCGAGGGAGAAGACGGGGATGGCTCCGACACTCCAGTGATGCCAAAGCTCTTCCGGGAAACCAGGACTCGGCCTGAAAGCCCAGCTGTAAGTGTCTACCCCTGAGCTGAGGCACTTCAAACACACGCATGCCTGCATTGAAAGCCTTGTCTAGGATCTCCCTGAGGAACTTTGAACAAATGTTCTGAAATTGGAAAATGACAGCAAACTTCATTAATTATGATGGTGATGGTTTTCACATGGCAGTTCTCTACTTTTCTGGGGAGCATTCTAAGAAGTGCCCAGGGGTATAGTTTACAGGTGGATGACTGTGGTGCAGTTACCTTTGGGACCAAGTTGCTTCTGTAGGTGGATTCTATGACTAAAAAGTCTGGAAATGGGCAGGCAGTTATTGCTCATGGTTACCCAACCTGCTGTTAGAAAGCAGACTGACACTTGGTGACCACGGCATGTGCCATTGATAATCTTATCCAGCACATGATGTATATCGTCTTGTTTTTACAGATGACATAAAATGCCAGTATACCCATGGTTAAGCATTAACTCTTGTGTGCAGGATTTGAACATGGTTTGCAACACTCAAGTTCATGCCATTTTGAGAAGAAAGCCTAAGGGAGGTCCCATCTGTCTTGAAGAATGCAACAATTGTAATAATGCTTGCAGAAAAGAAGTCTTTGGGAATAAATGTGGATTTTATTTGTCAGTTCAATTTGCAGGTGCCAGTTTCAGCTGTACCAGGCCAAGTGGGACCTGCTGTGGATTGTCAGGCAGCCCTGTCAGTCACGCTGCCCCCTTATTCCACTTACTAGGGTATTCAGGGGTGGGAAGTTCCCAGACCAGAGCAACTCAACCACCGCCTTCACTCCTGTTGGCCTGAGGCAGCCTCTCAAGTCTAGTCCTCTGGGCCCACAGTCTGAGCCCCCAGCCTCCATTCACCAAAGGCCTTGTGCTTATCCGCTCTTGCTTCCAGGTCCGAACCCGAAATAACAGCAGTACCTCCAGCCGGGAGAGGCACAGGCCCTCCCCACGTTCCACCCGAGGCCGGCAGGGCCGCAACCACGTGGACGAGTCCCCCGTGGAGTTCTCAACTACCAGGGTTGGTTCCCCGGATGCTCAGATCCCTAACCCCGCCCAGTCTGGAAACTGCCCCTCTCACCATGCCAAGTGGCTGCTATACATATAACCTGCTTCCTTTCTTCATACTCCTCTCCCTTTCAGGTTCCTGCCTTTCCTTTCTCTCCTGGGAGCTGGCTAAGCTCTTCCTAAGCCTGATGACTTCTCTCCTGGCCTAATCCCTAGACGGAACCCTGGTGGGAAGTGCAAGGATTTCCTGTGGACTAGGTCCTTACACTTCCTCAGAATAAGCTCAAACCACTGATTTCAGAACTGTCTTGTCTCCCTAGTATCTTCAGTGACTCTTCTAGAGCCAACCCCATGGGTAACAGCAACTCTCAACTCCTACGGCAAGGCTAGGCACCAGGAAGCCCTCTCTGAGCATCACTTGTTATCCTGTCTTGGTCCTTAATTCTGTCCTTGTTCTTCTGGAAGTTGTTTCTCTCCCCACCTAAGGGACACGTACTTGTTCCTGGAAAACTATCCCTGTTGGTCTCTGTTCCATGAACTTATGTCTTCACTCTGCTTCACTTGTGCTGGCGCCTCTGCCTCTGGTCACCGCCCCGGTCTGCTGTGGCCCATGCTAGGCGTCCTTGTGTTCACAGTCCCTGAGGCGACGGACGGGATCCTCTGCGGGCACGCCGTGGCCGTCCCCTGCCAGCCCCTACCTCACCATCGACCTGACAGACGAGGATGTGGTTCCGCAGAGCAGCAGTACACCCTACGCCCGCCTGGCCCAGGACAGCCAGCAGGAGAGCGTGGAGACCTCGCAGGTGGACGCAGAGGGCAGAGACGCAGACAGCACTGAGTATCAGGTACTACTGGGAAAAAGTTACCCAGAGGTGACTTACGACTTGTCACTTTCATCACAATAATTGATTCATTCTCCAAGTGTGTTTTCCGTGTGTTGAGTGGCCCTTCCTGTATCCTTATCTTGACATTATTAACTCAGGCACCAGGTGAGTTTGCCTCCTAATCTTTTCTGAACATTACATCTTTGTGCTTAGAAAGGTGTATGCATAGATAATTCATAATTCTATTCATCATTTATGTGTGTGTGTGTATATATATATATAAACACAGTTTTTGGTTGGCTTCTTTTCCTTAGGAACTGAAGTTACCTCACTTTCATGTCTAATCCATCGAGTTTTGTTCATCATCAACCAGTTGAGCTTGTTGGCTTCACTCAGGCTTTGCTACATATGTATTTTCTTATGTATGTACACATACCATATAGAAATTGTTTTCCGAGTACATGACTTCAGAGTAGATCTTATACATTTTAATAGCTTGCATGATTCCATGGGCATCTCCCCTTTTTTGTTGTAGCAAGTATTTTATGTGCAAAATTTTTCTTTTTGCATTTTAATGACTTGTACTATCCCATTTGATGGCCTTTGGGAATATCCAGGATTTTTGCTCAATTCTTTCTGTGAGTTTTCAGGTTTTTTTTAGTTTGCAGTTTAACATGTTTCCCTGATACAAAGTCAGATGTTACAGGTGACATACTGTAGGTCCAATCTGTAAAAGCCCATGTTTTTGTCATGCAACAAAATCTGCCCATCCTCTGCTCCTTATTTTCATGCAATTCTTCTGAGTTTTCAACCAGGAAGTGTTGGAGGAGGTAGGGAATTTCCTGAGGAACTCTGCCTGCACTTGCAGGAAGCCCTGTGCTGGACTCTTAAGGCAATTGCCATCAGGGTCAGTGGAACACGGAAGGTTTTTCCTCAGTCCAGCCAATCTGTCTCATTGTGATTTTGTTCATGTGGTTTTTCTTCTTGCAGGATGGGAAAGAGTTTGGAATAGGAGATCTTGTATGGGGAAAGATCAAGGGTTTCTCCTGGTGGCCTGCCATGGTGGTGTCCTGGAAGGCCACCTCCAAGCGGCAGGCAATGTCTGGCATGCGGTGGGTCCAGTGGTTTGGTGATGGCAAGTTCTCTGAGGTGAGTCCAGGGTGAGATGGACCTTACTTAATGGGCTGATGGACAGAGCCAGGGTTTCCTTCACTTACTTTTACAGTTGCCCTTTAACATAACAGCCTGCGCTCTGCGATGGATGTGGCTCAGTGACTCCGTCTGTCCAGAGGCTCACATCGGCTCAGAGCTCTGATCAATGACAAATTGGCCTCTGGTTTATTTCTCTGCGGCAGTCACCAGTATAGGTTCTGAGGGGCAAGAGTGGCCACCTGGGAAAATACTCTCAAAGTATTCCATTTGAGAAGCCTGAAAGAGATAGGAAGGGGGTGTCTCTGACTCATTTATCCCTGGGGGCCAGGGCATCCCTGGCTGGGGTTAGAGATGAATCCAGGGTTGCTTGGTGACAGTTATAGGAAAGTCCTTTGGAGATTTCAGTGTTTCTTGATTATTGACATTAGCTATTTAAAGCTTATTTTTCTTATTGAGAATCTGTGTTGGGGATGGAGATTTCAGTGTTTCTTGATTATTGATATTAGCTATTTAAAGCTTATTTTTCTTATTGAGAATCTGTGTTGGGGATGAATCAGGTTGATTTGATTCTTCCACCTTTGAAGACATCTTCTTAGACTCCAGGTTTTGATTAGAATGCAATGAACAAAACTTTTCCTGTGATGTTGTCTTTAGCTCATCCCTCAGTGTGTCCAGAGGTTAGGTGAGGAACAAGTTTGCAGGTTGGCAGGGATGGAGGCAGATCTGGGAATGAAGGACCAGCTTAGTAAATTGAGACTGGTTTTCTCATTGGATTTTTCCCATTAGCAACATTGTTCTCAAAGGGCAACAATAGTATGACCTGAAGTCTCTTTGATAGGGAGAGTTCACATGTAGAGGTCCTCCCTGGCCAGCAGGGGGAGCCAAAGGACAAATATCTGGGACCTGTGCGCCCCCTGAAGCGTCTAATTGTTAAAAATGTGGACAATGACTTGTGTGAAATGAAATGAAAAGAAACATGGATGGTTTGTAATTTCTTTGGTGAGTGCTTAGCACAACCGCATCTGATTCTAGTAAGATGCTGTTGTCTTAGCATTATAGGATGTGATTGCAGTATGGGGCCTGCTTAGGCTGTAGGCTGTATTGAAACAGTTTGGCCTTGCGGTGGCATCTACATTTCCATGCACAGCTGTTGAACCCCAGTTTCTTTGCATCAGTGGTGATGACACCCCTATGGGTGACCAGACTTAGAAATGTAAATAAAGGTGATCATGAGTGCCAGCACTGGGGAGAATGAGACATTTTATGTCTCTTGAGCTCTGAAACCTGAATGCCCAGTTTCATCTCATCATTGGCAACCTGAATGGTTCATGATGACCTGGGGACGTGGGAATGAGACTTATAGATCATTAGCCCCAGTGGAATTCATGTATCAGCAAATCATAATTACTAAAAAGAGCTGAACTGTGTGCCAGGTACTATTCTCTAATCCCATCCCTTAGCTCAATTAATAAATGGCTGAAATAAATAGTAAATAGTAATCATAGCTATTTGTCATGCTTAGGAAGGAGGTAAGAACATGTGCCAAACCCTTTGAAAGTTGGAGCATCCATGGCAAATAGTAAAACTGAGCTGCAAGGGGACTATTTAGGTCATTTGCTCTTAAAATATCTGTAAACTTGATCCCCAGAGATAAATTCAAGAGAAACCCAGGGCACCCCAGATACAGGCTGTGGGTGGATGTTGATGACAACTTTCTCTTCTAGATTCCAGCAGATAAGTTGGTGGCATTGGGATTGTTCAGCCAGCACTTTAACCTGGCGACCTTCAATAAGCTGGTCTCTTACAGGAAGGCCATGTACCATGCTCTGGAGGTAACTTGGCAGTGGGTGGCTGGCCTGGCCCCAAGAATGGGATTAAAGCAAGAAACATACAGAAAGCCAACTCAATCCACAGTGGGGCTAAGAATGACTTGGAGGGGACCTGGGCAGCCAGTGGGAGGAGGTTAAAAGAGAGCGTTCTAATGGGCTATGCTGAGAAGGGAAGGAAGGGGTTTGAGACTGTCCATAATTTCCCAGCGCTGCCCCTGTGTCCCGCTGGTGTCTGTCTGAATTGCCCTCAGAATGAGGAAAGAGGAGCCCTGGGAAGGAGGAGGCGATATCGGCATTAGTGAGCAAGCTTTTTCAGAGCTTGTGGCTCAAAAGGCCAAGACTATGCAGCTGCTGAGGTCAGCTGCTTCCTCCCCTTGTCCGTGGGACCCGTCAGGCTCTGCCTTTCCTCTACCTTCACTTGGATTTGCAGTCATCAGAGTCATCTATTCAGCATGGGTGAGACCAAGCACTAGGCTTAATTAGACATCATTAAGGCTTCATTAATAACTTGGAGCTTTCTCAGAGACCATGAGCCAGCGCTGACTGATACTTCTCCTGTAGCGAAGAGTGGCCCAGCTAATTCTGAGCTGACCACTCCAGTTCTCTACAGGGAAGAGATCATGTTTGGTGCCTCTGCGGGGACACTGTCCCTGCTCCTCCCTCCCTGTCACATACCACAGCTCAGGACAGCTGTCTGACTATGAAAGGGCCCAGTGTGAAGGGGAATGAGGCCCCAGCAAGGGGAGTCCTGGGTGGGGCAAGCCAGGCAAATACCCACCCCTCCTATTTATCAGATTCTATCTCTATCTCGGCAGAAAGCCAGAATCCGGGCTGGCAAGACATTCACCAGCAGCCCTGGAGACTCACTGGAGGATCAGCTGAAGCCCATGTTGGAGTGGGCCCATGGAGGCTTTAAGCCCACTGGGGTCGAGGGTCTCAAACCCAACAACAAGCAACCAGGTATGAGTGAGTCCCTGTGGCACCCCCCTGCCACTGCTGGTGAGAGCACCCTTGGGCGGTGCAGTCATGCCTGCTGCCTCTCACCCCACCCTGGCTTTCCAGCAGTCAGTTACCCTGGCTGGCTAGTTAGTTTTTTCCCCCAAAACAACCCAAACATTTCTAGTTTCACTGGCCACTTTTCCTGCTAAACGGTCAAGTACAAATAAAGATTGAATCTGTTCTGAAAGCTTCAGTAAACAGACTCAAGGTGGAATGTTCACTAGCACCTTATTTTTTTTTTTTAAGGGGAAAAAATTAAGCTCTGCATATTGGAGAAAACTAGGAAAGTGTTAAAAACCCTCTAGACACCCCAAATCTAGATCACCTCCCTTTAGGAAGGGGCACCATCTATCCTCATGTTGACCAATATCGCAGTGCCTCCATGTTTAGACAGCTGCTTTCCTGTTGTCTCTCCAGAAATCCAAGATATGTCTTCTCATCCTTCCATTTAACGCAGTGTTCTCTGTTCTGTTTTGTCCTTCCCCCCCAAAAAGTGGTTAATAAGTCGAAGGTTCGTCGTACAGGCAGTAGGAACTTAGAAGCCAGGAAACACGGTATTCCTTCACCATCTTTTGACTATGCACTCTTTTCTCTGCACTTTCTTTCAATCTGTTTGCACATAAAGTACTCCGAAAATAATCAAATCTGTTTAAAAGTCACCCTGAACTCTCACCTCCCCCTTCACTCCAACCCTCACAACTGCCTTCCAGGTGACTATGGTTGGGTGTGCACCTCCTTCCAGCTCTTTCTATACACTGGTTGGATTCCTGCTTTCCCTTCATTTTTCAATATTTGTGGTATAAGCACTGTTAAATGTCATTTTTTTCACTGAGGTGTCCTTATGATATTAATGGCTGTGTAATTTTCTCTCCTAGGGATAGAGTCAAATTAAACCATGTCCTTTAATAGATTATGCTGTGTGGATTGAATAAAAAATAGAATTTATAGAAATAAAAACAGTAGCCATCTCAAAAAGCTTAAAGGGAAATTAATATTGATCATATACTTAATCTGTTTCCAGCATTTAGTATAAAAAATCATAGTCTATTTTCCATAACTTATTAAGTGTCTTAGAACATCTCAATTGGGACATTGAGTTTTCATTACAAACAGTTGATCTGTGTTTTCACCAATGTCCAACTTGTTCCAAATGGACTAGTTAATGGAATCTATCAAAAGTTTTGCATCAGAATTAAATTAAAACCCAGTCCCTCAGCCACACTGGTGAGACTGCCAGTTCTCAGTAGCTACCTGTGGCTTTCAGCTTATTGGAGATCTTGGGCAGAGTCGGTTACATCTGTAGACTGAGCTGTTTCTACTTCCCTTGTGCTGGATCTAGAGGAGGTATTTTGCACCTATAGCTGTTTAAGGTCCTATACATTGGTTAGGCACGTGAGTTTCAGATAACTCATCCAAGTTGTCCATAGAGGGGCCATGTGACACCCAGCAGGTCACAGCTGGATGCAGCTAGCACACAGGGTCCTTTGCTCCCAGCACCCTCCTCCCACCCAGCCACGGCTGCCTTCTCCTCACCTTTCACAGAGAATAAAACGCGGAGACGCACAGCTGACGACTCGGCCACCTCTGACTACTGCCCCCCACCCAAGCGCCTCAAGACAAATTGTTATAACAACGGCAAAGACCGAGGAGAGGAGGACCAGAGTCGAGGTGACTGTGGGGCGGGAGGCTGGGGATCCATCCACCCTCAATTGGTTGTGGGCAGGTAGGGAGGAACAGCCCGCACAAGACTCTCTGACCTTACCTTGTCTTTTCTTAACAGAACAAATGGCTTCGGATGTTGCCAGCAACAAAAGCAACTTGGAAGGTAACACCCTCTCCCTTGCTGGCTTCTCCCCCTCAGTGGTGCTCCCAGCTAGTGCTCCCATGTTGCTGGTCTGCCCTGCCCTGCAGAAGTTAACCCTGAGCCTTGACCTTGGGGCGAGGTGTAGACAGCTACCTACTCAGGTGCTACTTAGAGTGAGTTGCCCGATTTTCACAGAGGATGATTCACGAAGGATGCTTGGGGACAGGAAGGAAATGACACTTGGGCCAGGAGAGGCACAAACCTGAAACCACAATCTGTGGCCTCTTGAGCCCCCTGAATAAGCACTGCGACTGGCTCAGAGGTGGAAGACTGTCATTCTCAAACCAGCTCTGGTTCCTTTGCCCTGGCTGGGAACCCAGTACACTTCTAATGGATCTTGGAATGTGTGAGGAAGGCTGTCTGTTGCATCCTCAGCCCCATGTCCTTTAGTCAACATATGAAATGGTTAGTCACTTCAGGGGTCAGAAAACCACAGTTGCTGACCCAGGGAGCCCACGTTTGGAGCAGACCCTGACAATCCTCAGGACTTAGACCCATGGTCTTCCCCAGCCCTCAAGACTCCTTCGGCCATCTGTCTGCTTCCTGGACTGGCGTGGGGTGAGGGTGCTTGGTATTCGATAGGCCTGGCCCACTTGGTCAGATCTGTAAGACCCGCTGATGGGACAGGAGGCAGGAAAGCCTAATAGGAAAAGGACCCTGGCTCTTGAAATCACAGATACACTAGGCTGTGTGTAGGATTGGTCACAGTCAAGTCCTATCCTAGGACAATGGGCAAATTAGCCATGACCACAAGTTGAAGTCCCAGTCTGTGAAGATTTTCATACCAGACTCTCCAAGCGTATGCCTCTGCTGGTGCAGCTACTTGTTCTTTGCCCCCCAGCACACCTAGGTACCCTCCCACCCCCACCCCCGCCTCCGAGTCTTCCTTCTGGGCCGATCCTTTGCCTGTCTTATGGGACCTTCTACTTGGAGCTGTTGATTTAACCCTCTCCATGTGGGATCGAGGATGGTTCCAGAGACAAATGGTTGCATAATCCTAGCATGGAGTAAAGCGCAGTGAGACCCAAGGCTTTAGCAGCGGCCTTGTCTTTCTTACAGATAGCTGTTTGTCCTGTGGTAGGAAAAACCCCGTGTCCTTCCATCCTCTCTTTGAGGGTGGGCTCTGCCAGACATGCCGGGTAAGTCCAATCCCCACCCTGAACTTTCCTGCCCCTTGCCTGCTCCATGACTTCCCGTACTTCCTCAGGAAAAGCCTCCCAAGTGTAGGCAGCAGGAAAGGTTCTAGGGGAGCCGGCCGATCACCCTACCCTTCCCTCCCAGGGGTGCTGGCCTGCAGACCCGGCCAGTTGTCCCTGTAAAGGGCACCAAGCCGCCAGGTCACTAAGCCACTGTTGTGTGGCTGCGTCCGAGGGCAGCCTGCGTCCGGGCTTGGCTGGCTGTCCCCAGTCTCCGATTTCACAGGTGTTTCTCTCTGGCTGCCAGGACCGCTTCCTTGAGCTCTTCTACATGTATGATGACGACGGCTACCAGTCCTACTGCACCGTGTGCTGCGAGGGCCGCGAGCTACTCCTATGCAGCAACACTAGCTGCTGCCGGTGAGCCACAGAGCTCCCCCACCGGGATCCAGGCCTGGGGACCAGCGCCTCGCTAACCTGGAGCCAGGACCCGGAGGCAGGGTTATTCTGTGGGGTCCTGTCCTTGAAGTGCTTGTGCATCCCTACAGTAGAACTAGGATGTAGGGACAGGCTTGGCATGACTCTCCATCAACCCCAGAGCTCAGCCAATTCTGGGGATGGCATGGGTCCCCAAGAAAGACACAGGCCTTCCCGCCCATGGGGAGGGCAGTTAGGGGCCTGAGAAGGTTTCAGACAGCACGAGCCATCTCCATGGGGAGGGTGGGTTTTTGCAGGAGAGCCATCGGATGACAGGCACCCTCCTCCCCGCTGCCTGGCACAGGTGCTTCTGTGTGGAGTGCCTGGAGGTGCTGGTGGGCGCGGGCACAGCGGCGGAGGCCAAGCTGCAGGAGCCCTGGAGTTGCTACATGTGTCTCCCGCAGCGTTGCCATGGCATCCTGCGGCGCCGCAAGGACTGGAGTGTGCGTCTGCAGGCCTTCTTCACCAGCGACCCTGGGCTCGAATACGTAAGCCTGGCATCCACCCCAGTCTGTCAAACAAAGCTCCGCTGTCCAAAGGAGCATCTGAGAGCTCAGGCTGGAGACCTGGCTAATGGTCCCGGGTACAGTTCCCAGGCGGCTCTGGGGTTCATCCCTCCCTTCTTTGGCTTGGGTTTTCAAGGGCCTGCTGAAGAAATAAGATGGAATTGACCCAGTCTTGGTTTTAGTAGAATTGCAGCGGGGAGGGATGCCTTAGACTTACTCTCAGGTCTGGTGGAAAGTGGCTTTTCCTGGGCTGCATGCTGTGGTTCATGGAGGAACACATGTCTGGAGTAGTGTCAAAGTCTCATTACTCCATGTCCTAAGGGTAGAAGGGTCATCTGTGCTGAAGCTCCTCGGGGCATCCCAGCTCAGAAAGGTTAAAACACATGGCTTGTAGCCCTTGAGGAAGGCCAGCCCCATCTCCGCACCTCCACCTCTATGACCTCTTTTTTTTTTTTAATGAACCTGGCAGGAAGCCCCCAAGTTATACCCTGCAATTCCTGCAAACCGAAGGCGGCCTATTCGAGTCTTGTCACTGTTTGATGGAATTGCAACAGGTGAGTTTAGAGTTCACCTAGAGATGTTTACCTGCTTCAGGTATTTGATTTCAATGTTAGGAAAGACTCTTGGGGTTACTCATTGGTCACCTGTTCTGAGAAATCCACTGGTTCCTTGTTTCTCTCCTTGAACCTCTCCATCATTTCACCCAACTGGTCCTCCTCCTTTAAAGGCATGGATTTTATTTTTTATTATGTTTAGGAATCTTGGAGAAATTATTTTCTGTTTCATATCATAGATATATTGGAGATTAATTCTGAACTCATCACCCAGTATCTTGAGTCTTGGTTCCTTCCCATTTCCCCCAGGTTTCCCATGTGTAGAATTAGCATAGCCAACATGTGTTGCCTCTAGGGGCTTTGCCTGATTCATTTCTCAGAAGTGCCCTATAATATATTGTTAGGAACATTTCCCTTTTACCAGAGTAGGAAGCAGTGGGAATCAGTTGCTGTGCATCTAGCATCACTTGTATCAATATGTATTTTTGTTCACCAGTGTCCCCCTGCCTAAAAGTCTGACAGCGTTAAAAGACTCCCAGGACATCACCAGTGGCTTGTTTTCCCCTCTGGGGAAAGTAGGTTCTAAAGACCTATTTGTGTTTGTACAATGGCTTATTCCCACTATAGCTCACCAGATTTGAGGCTTTGCCTTGCACTTGGCTATGCACCAGTCACTTTTAGTACATAACTTCCAGTGGACACAGCAGAAGGGTGTAGGGAGCCCGGTTTCATTGCTGTTAGCACGGGTTCCCTTGAGGACTGCCATGATCTTTATGTCTCTGGTCTGAGTTCTGAAGATTGTCTGGAGATGGCTTCCAGACAATCACTGAAAGGATGGGCCCTGGGCAGGACAATCCTGACTCATTTTCTCTTCCCCTTGACAACTCCCCCACCCCATAGGGTACTTGGTCCTCAAAGAACTGGGCATCAAAGTGGAGAAATACGTGGCCTCTGAAGTGTGTGAAGAGTCCATTGCCGTTGGCACCGTTAAGCATGAGGGCAACATCAAATATGTGAATGACGTCAGGAACATCACAAAGAAAAACGTGAGGGAAAGACCCCGTTACTCTTCTTCTCCCTGAACCCCACACATCCTTACAACCAACTGGTCACCACCTACCTGCCCAGGGTTGTGGCAGAAGAGCAGCTTTGGTTATAACTTGAAAATCCTTCAGATGTAAATCATTCTCAGAGAAGCCTGAGCTTTTGGATTTCTTGGGTCAAAAGTGAAGTTAGGAAATTTAAATGACCAAGCAAGACTTGGAAGTGGGTTTTCTTGTAGCTAGTTACCTGGAATCCAGGCTGTTCATCTCTCCATCCCCAGCCCCAGCCCTGACTGTTTTTCTCCTGCAGATTGAAGAATGGGGCCCATTTGACTTGGTGATTGGTGGAAGCCCATGCAATGATCTTTCCAATGTGAACCCTGCCAGGAAAGGCCTGTATGGTGAGCATCCCTTCTCACATAGACCCCAAGAGACCCTACGTACCCTGACTGCTGGATGGGAAGAGTGCCCTGAGGAGGAGCTGTTATCTTCTGGCCAACTGTACTTGTTGCCTCTGTTCATGCCTCACTGTGACTCCTCAGTTGCCAGAGATAAGAATGAGTCTCACACTGCTGATGCCTGTCTTTCTAGAGCGTGGCAGGGAGAGGGGACAGTAAGTCATCAGCATAGCTAGTCCTTGGGAATACATTGTTCTTACTATGGAAGACTGGGCTGAAGGGTCTGAGTCCGGCTTTGCCCTTGTCTTTTGTGGGCTCAGAGGGCACAGGCCGCCTCTTCTTTGAGTTCTACCACCTGCTGAATTACACGCGCCCCAAGGAGGGTGAAGACCGGCCTTTCTTCTGGATGTTTGAGAACGTGGTGGCCATGAAGGTTGGCGACAAGCGGGACATCTCTCGGTTTTTGGAGGTAAGGACGTCTGGAGTCTTGATTCTCAGGATAACACAAATGGGAAGGCCCTGCTGGCACTGGGGTGAGGGTTATTTCCAGGGTTGGAATTGATGGCTCCCCATGGAGGGCGTGGCTAGTTCTGAGAGTATGTGGGAAATACTTGATCTCTTGCCTCACTCCAAACCCACTGAAGTCAAGATGATGAAACTAGCATACTTTTGGAGGCACCATGAGACTGGACCAGGCATTTTTGCCAGAAATTTTCTCTCCCGTGTGCTCAGAAATTCTGCTTTAGGGACCATAAGCAAGATAATTACCTACTGCTTAGTATGCATCAAGCATTGTAGTAAATACTATATGTTATATGTATATATATAAGGGCTTCCCAGGTTGTGCTAGTGGTAAAGAATCTGCCTGCCAATGCAGGAGGTTTTGATCCCTCGTTAAGGGAGATCTTGAAGAAATGGCAACCCACTCCAGTATTCTTGCCTGGAAAATTCCATGTACAAAGGAGCCTGGCAGGCTACAGTCCATGGGGCCACAAAGATTCAGACATGACTGAGCACACACACATATACACTTACTTCCCCCTGACTTTAAAGCCTCTGTTCTGCTAGGGAGGTTCTGGAATTGGTTGGTCCATTCCTCATGCCTTGTGAACGTTGGCCAATCAGTGACAGAAGGCAGATTTTGCCAGCACTGCATTTCCATAACCAGGACCACATTCATTTTGCTGGATTTCAGTTCTGAGCTGCCTTCACCACCCATACCCAGAGCTTCTGTAATGATCTGACATGCCAAGGGAATACCGCCTCTTAGAGCAGCCAGTCTGATCTGGTCTCTTTCCGCACCATTAACAGAGAGACACAGGCTTGGTCCTTCAGACTTTGAGGGGTGGTCAGTCCCTTGCCTGGCAGGAGTCATACCTCCCCCACAGTCAGGGACAGCCATGTCTCCAGTGCTGCCTGCATTCTGCCCTGGGCTCCCAGCAGCTGCCCTGCTCTCTCCCCACAGTGTAACCCAGTGATGATTGATGCCATCAAAGTGTCTGCTGCTCACAGAGCCCGATACTTCTGGGGCAACCTGCCCGGGATGAACAGGTAACAAGGGGCTCCCAGTGGGACCAGTAACAGCCAAGTTAAATATAATGGTATGAGCCATAACCACCAACTCTTAGGAGAGAGACACATTGGAAACTTGTATAAAGAGCTGCTCTGCTGAGAAAGGCCTCACCCTCTGCTTCAGACCAACCCTTAGTGTTACTGTTGAAGCCTGTTAGGCTGTATAGCAACTGCCTGAGACTCAGGCCAGGATTCCACAATGTACTTTACTCCTGCTCTGCCCACGGGCCTAGTGTTAAAATCTGGTACTATGTGCTGGAGCAGGCTTTGTTGCAGCCAGGGACACTGATTGATTCTTCTCCACTTCCCTGTTGTGGTCCATTGGGAAATGAACTTTCCCAGTCTCCTTACCTCCAGGATGAAGTTGTAATCCCTGGACCAGGCCTGAGGTAACCAATCAGGTGGCAGAGCTGAGCTGGGCTAACCATCAGTAGCCCAAAGCCTGTCTTCTTTGGATTTTCTTAACTGAGTTCTTTACCCAACTTTTCATTAGTCCTGTCATGTTGAAAGCCAAAAAAGCAAGTGGAATGACTGATTAATTATCTCTTTCATGTAGCTTCAGGGAGAACAATCTGCTAATTAAGATACCAAATGTGATGATGATAGGACTTGCAAATGAATTAGCTTCACAAAAAAAGATTCTTTAAAAGGAAGTGTTGGAAGCATAACTTAGGCATTTACTCAAAGTGTGGACAGAGGAGAAAAGGTACTGGAATAGCTTGGAATTTCTATTGGGTATATTACATTTTCCTTTGGCTAATCTGCCTGTCAGATGGAGCAGTGTCCAGGTCTGGAACTGCTTCTTCATTCCACTCCTTAGCTCTCACCCTGCCAGCCGCTGTAGTTCCTGCTGCCAGTTGTGCAGTGACAATGCCAGTCTTGGCTCTAACAGAGCTGACCCTGCCAGTGGGGTAGGCACAGGGAAGACAGATGAATTCAGGGTCAGGGCTGGAGGGGGCACTGGAAAAGTTGATGGGGAGGCTTCTTGTCCCAGCAGGACCGGAAAAGAAGGAGCCAGAGGCATGAAGTTCAGAGTGAAAAGGTCAGGGATCGCAGTCCAAAAAACAGTGTTCTAGGAGTCAGGGAGAGGAGGGTGAAATGGGCCAAATTACATGAGGCCTGTGGTCATGGTAACAGTTAAATATACTCTGGCTCAGGGAGTTCAGGTGAGTTTTTTGGTGCATGAGATGTGTTTCTTGTTCTCTGGGATTTCTGGTTGAAGAATAGACTATTATGAGAACAGACGTGGGGAGGCAGCTCAGATGTGTTTCAGAGGAGGACAGCTCTGTGCTTGTGTTGATACCAAGAGGTACCATCCACGTGCATTAAAATCGGTGAGCGTGACGTCCTGTGCAAAGAGGTGTTAGATTCTAGATACTGGGATTTGCAGAAGTTTGAGTTGGGATGAGCAGTGAGCTGCTACAGTTGGGATCTATAGGATCAGTGACAATATCAACTGTAGGTCACAGACCAAATCTAGCCCTTAGACTAAACACCTAGGTTTTCAGTCCTAGAATCAACAGAATGTAGGACAGGGCTGTGAACCCTTAGCTCCCTTAGTCCATGGAAGAGTTGGGAATGGAGAGAGGGTGAGGTCAGTGTGGTATTTTGTGTTCAGTGGCTCCTCTTGTGGACACCATGTCCAATCTGACATCTGATTTGTTTTTGGCCTCTTGAGTTCCTTACCCAGGGATGCTGTGGTGGTCATCAACCCTGTGCATTCAGACCTCTTCCTAGTTTTCTGCTTTGGACCTGCTTAACCACTTCAGTATCTAAAGTTCTATCCATTCTCCTTGTCAAGCATCTGTTTGCCTCTCTCTGTTAAAGCCTCCTGAGGCTGTGTTCCAGCAATAAGCCGCCAAATCATGGGTTTGATGTGCTGCTTGTAGTGAGTAGACCCACAAAGACTTAATCCAGGCTCCTGAGGCTCAGAGATGGCAGAATTTGCTCAGCGTCACTCATTCAGCCAGTGAGCAGTGGGGCTGAGACTGAGGTGTCTCCTGACCCCTCTAACCATATGCTTCACCATCCTGCTCTCCTCAGTGAAGGAGCTTTGACTACTGTTACCATTGGGTAGGGGGAACATTCACTGCTGCACCTAGGGCTCCCTGCCCCAAGCAGCTATCCTGTCCCTGAGTTGACATCCAGGCTTGTGCTCACGCCTGGGCCATTTTTATGATATATCTGTAGCAAGTTTACGGCCAGAGCACAATTTGCAGCTTGGGCTCTCACTCCCACCCTGGGAGGCACCGAGCCAAGGCCCTTTTCCAGGCGGTAGAAAGTAATGGGTTTTGGATGTTCCCAGGCCTGTGATAGCATCCAAGAATGATAAACTCGAGCTGCAGGACTGCCTGGAGTTCAATAGGACAGCAAAGGTAAGCAGTGTTCTGTGCCTGGCCCACCACTTGGTGACCTTTCAATGGGACTTGACCTTGGTGTCCTCCCCCCACACGACTCCCTGGTGCTGGGCTTCCTTCCCCACACAGTTGTTCTATCCCATCTTCAAATACAGAGTAGGAGAGGTTCTTCCTTGATAAACAAAATTGAGAGAAGGCAACTAGACTTTCCTATTGTGAATGCACACTCCATGGAGACTCCCAAGTGAGAAATGAGTACACTTTTGCAAAAAAAACAAAAACAAAAACTGCTATTAAGTCATAAATAATTCTATTAATATCTCCCGAAACTTAATTTTCAAAGCTTCCATTGAGCTAAGTTCCATTCATTCAAACCCTGCTTGACCATCCTCTATAATCTGAGGGAACTTTTCCTTTTGCTTAATCTTGCTTGATCAGTAACTGTTTCCTTGACACCCATTTGATCTCATTTATGGTCACTTTTTGTTTATCTCTTTGTTCTCTCTGAGGCTGGTCCTTCCTGCTCATTAACTTCTTGGCTTTTGTGGGAAGCACAGAGTGTGTCCTTCCATCTCTCCTTTTCTCATTCCCTATCCGAGCCTGGCCCTGCCACCCTCTCTCCCCCACCTGCCCTCCCTCCTCCACCTTCCCTAGGTGCTTCTGAGCCTTGACCCAGAACCGTTCATTCTGTGCTCACTCCATGATGTCATTTTGTTCTCCAGTTAAAGAAAGTACAGACAATAACCACCAAGTCGAACTCGATCAGACAGGGGAAAAACCAACTTTTCCCTGTTGTCATGAATGGCAAAGAAGATGTTTTGTGGTGCACTGAGCTAGAAAGGTGAGCAAGGATGTTCGTGGAAAGGGAAATCAAGCAGACAGAGACCATGGTTAAAGCCAGCAGCGTGTTCCACGTAGTCTTGCTGACCTTCTACATTAGCAGAGCTGGGAGTAACCTTTCCAGTTGGTGCTTATTTCCTAGCAGAAATGGCAAAGGGCTATGGTGGTGAGGAATCTGAAACCTGAGGCCATGAGACAGCACATCTATCTCATCTGGCTGTGTTTCCCTGGCATTTGCCTGCCCTAACATGCTGGGATGCTAGGATGTACGAGGATCCAGCTAAAGGAAATTCTACCAGCAAGCCGTTGCTTCTTTCTCAGGATTCCTCCTGAGTTGCTTGTTCCCTTATCCGTTTATTTGGCTAAGTCGGAACTTGATCCACTTTGAAGAACCAACTCTTTGATTTAATTTCTCCTGTTCTGCATTTAACTTTTTTTTTCCTCATTTTATTTTGTTATTGTGATGAGACTGTAGTAAGGGTTGTGAACACTCTACATTTTTGGCAGTATCTTAGGGCTATTTTGATAGAGTATTTTCACTCCAGATAGTTTAGTTCTATAACTGGATGTATTTCTTGGTTTAATTTGTAGTATAGGACTGTAAACCTGGGAAAGAGTGAGGTCCAGTGTATCAGTAGCCTCCTTCCAGATCTGTACCTCTTCTCCTGTGGTAGAATTCCACTCAGGAGGCTGTTGGTATATTTCGTTGCCATCTGCCATTTAAGTGCAGCCTGGGCCTTGATCCAGCAATTTGCTTTGAAGAGGGAAAGAAAATGCAGAATGCTTCAGTTTACTCAGGGTCAATTACCCGAGCGTCTGATGATTGGAGATAAGACCTGTTTTGTGGGTGTCCCTATTCCTTAGTAAGGCGACGGCTCAACTTTCTCACCTTGTGTGATGTGAAGATAGGTACTTGTCTGCTGGCTGGCTGGCCATCTTGGCATTCAGTCATTCATGCAGGAAAAGTCCAGCGAGCGTCAGCTATGTGGCAACAGTGCAGTGCAAGTGTGGGGGCGTGCACAAGACGGGCGCCCTCAAAAGGGGGACCATGCCCTCAGGACGGGCATCTGGGAGCCGAAGACCTGGTGGACTTGACCTTGGGGGCTCACGGGAAGGCCTGGCGGAAGGGACGGGTCAGAGGGCAGGAAGAGCAGAGAGCTGCCTGGGCTGCCACAGCCGGGAGTCTCCCAGAGGCGCCAAGCTGGTGGGGGCGCGCCTGCCTGCCTGTGTTTTCACTCTGGTGCCCCGCCCCCAGGATCTTCGGCTTCCCTGTGCACTACACGGACGTCTCCAACATGGGCCGCGTGGCCCGGCAGAAGCTGCTGGGGAGGTCCTGGAGCGTGCCCGTCATCCGACACCTCTTCGCGCCCCTGAAGGACTACTTTGCCTGTGAATAGCCCCAGGCGCCGGCGCGGGCAGAGCCACAGCCCAGGAGGTGCAGCCTGGCTCTGCCCTTGCCAGCCCAGCTGCGCCTGCGGGGTCGCGCCGAGTACCTCGTTGGGAGCAGAGCTGCCTGTCCCCTTCCTGGCCGGGGGGACCCCGAGGTGCCACCTCCTTCTGCACAATACAGACCTGGCCGCTCGGAGTGGCCAGACATGGTGCTCGTTTTATCTTCTCCTAAAACTTTAAAACTTGAAATAGGTAGTAAGATGGCTTTTTTTTTTTTTCCCCCTCCATTCTGGGTTTACCGCTCAGAGAAACGATGGCTAAGATACCAAAACCACAGTGCCGACAGCTCTCCAAGACTCAGGTTGACGCTGAAAAATCACCCAAGACAGTTACTGCAAGACTTTAATTTTTTAAAATGTCTGCAGCTCCTTGTTTCCAGGAGTGTGCAGTGGTAGACAGGTAGCTAAGGGACCTTTGAAGGGCCCAGTATGTTTTTTTTTCTAGGGCTAGCATAAGAGGACATGATGTCCATGTCTGTCTTGAGTTTTCCCTGGCTCGTTGTCCACCCCTCTTCCCCCGCCCCCACCTCAGTGTAAAGGGCTGGGATCTCTAGCCCATTTAGAGTATTTTCCACAAGGATGATGATTTCAGCAGGGATGACATCATCATCACATTCAGGGCTATGTTTTTCCCATAAATCCGAGGGCAGGGCTACCCTTAGCTAAATCCCTCCCAGTGACTGCAATAGAACCCTCTGGAAACTCAGGAAGGGGTGGGCTGGGTTTATAAGCTGCCATATATTGGTATAGACAGGTATGGCTTCTCACTGTCTTCCCCCTTTATACCCATGTGAGAGGAGGAGGAAGCTTACATAAGACCCTCCCCCCACCCCACCCCGCACCCCTCCAGGCTACTCTGCAGGCACAGGTCCCCAGTGTGACACCCCAACTTCTCAGCCAGGGGCAGAAGCACAGTCCTCGCACTTTCCCCTTCTCTAAGAGACTGCAGGGGGAAAACTGCAATAAAAGCTCAACCCTCCCTCCCTCCTGAGATTTTAAAGTCCTTTTTTATTCCAAGGTGAATCGATAAATCTTTTTTTTTTTAGGGGGAGTGGGAGGTCAGACAAGCTGCATTTCAGAAATGCTGTCGTAATGGTTTTTAACACCTTTTACTCTTACTGGTGCTATTTTGTAGAATAAGGAACAATGTTGACAGGTTTTGTGGGAGGTTTTTTTATTCACTTTTTAAAAAAAACTCAGACTTCTATTTTTGTTTAAACATTTTCATAATTTTTTTTTTGTAACTGGAGCCACGTAACAAGTATGGGGAAAAATTGTGCCTTGTTTCAACAGTTTTGCTAATTTTTAGGCTGAAAGATGACAGATGCCTAGAGTTTACCTTATGTTGAATTAAAATCAGTATTTCTCTAACAATCTGGTGTCCCTTTTGTTCTTTTGCAGATCAAATGGGTGGGGCATGTGAGGAAAAGTGGAAAGGTGGATGGTTGAAATTACCCACCTTCAAGTCCAGTGCAGAAGTTTCATGTGCATGCAAGCTGAGTTGTGCATGCATGCTAAGTCGCTTCATTCGTGTCCGACTATAGCCCACCCAGCTTCTCTGTCATGGGATTCTCCAGGCAAAAATACTGGAGTGGTTGCCATTTCCTTCTCCAGGGGATCTTCCCAACCCAGGGGAGTGTCTCCTGCATTGAAGGTGGATTCTGAGCCACCTTTTAAGTACCACAGGTGCCCCCCAAGTCTAGTACAATGGTCCCCAAACTCCAACATCCCCTGTAACAGGCATCCCCTGTAAGGCTTGTTCAGTGGAGAACAAGACCTACCCCCAGAGTTTCTGATGCATTAACTCTGAAGTGGAGCCTGAGAATTCCTCTATGCCCATCCAAGGACCAATCTGGGATAGTGAATGGATATCTAAACCTTGTTTCCCCAAATAAATAACAAGTTCATTGAAAGCCTTGATGTCTGGAACAGTCATGTCCAGGTTACTTCTCACAGCTATTGGGTAGCTGGTTGAGATGAGTCAAATCCCAGGGCTGACAGTCCAGTTCCTTATCCCTTTGTAGGCTTCTCCCAAAGTTTGTTCCACTGCTCCTAAGTTGTCATGTCATAACTGAGCCATGGTCAGTGAGGGGAGTTGGCTCCAGTGAGGGGAGACTCCTGGGGAATGACCCAGGATCAATTTTTAACATAGCTGCCTGTGGCCCCCAGCTCTTTGGGTGGACTGTGTTTCTTGCCGTTTAAGCTTAACGTTGCAACTCCCTTCAGTAATTCACCTGGGTCCACCCAGCCAGGTTTCCCACCCAAAGCCCAGAGTCCATCATGTCATAATTCTGTGTCACTACCTCTAGCCTTTGGTCAGTGAAACGGTCCTGATGAAGATTCCAGTAGCTTTCCAGAGGTTAATATTGGTCATTTGGTTCCTTTAGAGGAAAAAGGGATGCCCTTGTGCATCAGTTGAATATCTCAGTTGGCATGACTCTGAGCCTCAGTATCTTCACATAAGCTTGGCTGTAATCACTGCCATCTCCATGATTAAGTTTGCTGTTCAGTCGCTCAAGTTGTGTCTGACTCTTTTGCAATCCTCTTATTGTCGCCCACCTGGCTTCTCTGTCCATGTGATTTTCCAGACAAGAATACAGCAATGGGCTTCCATTTCCTTTTCCAGGGGATCTTCCCAACCCAGGGAGTGAACCTGCGTCTCCTGCATTGGCAGGCAGGCAGGCAGCTCCTTTACTACTGAGCCACCTGGGAAGCCCACTATTGGAGTGATGAGCCTTAATTCAAAAGCAAGTTAAGAAATAATCTGGCCCAGAGTTGGAGTGGACCATGAGAAACTGTTTTTAGGCACCACTAGGCTAGAACATGGAAAAGGAAATGGCAACCCACTCCCGTGTTCTTGCCGGAAGAATCCCAGGGACGGGGGATCCTGGTGGGCTGCCGTCTATGGGGTTGCAGTTGCACAGAGTCGGACACAACTGAAGTGACTTAGCTTAGGCTAGAACAGCCTGGGTGCAAGTCACCATGGTGAGACATTGGCAATTAGCAAGCCAATCCTGCTGGTGCTCTGCTCAGGTGTTGAGGCCCCAGGGGCCTTGGTTGCCTTATTAAGCCATCTTGTATTCAGTGCTGCACCAAGTGCCAGGACAGGATGAAGCGAAATAAACAGCCTCGGCCTCGAAACCCCAAGAGAGGAGATGGACTAGCCCTCCAGGTGAGGGGTGTTGTGGCCTGCTTGTGAGCAGCCTTAAGGGAGAACTTGGAGGGTCTGTAGGGGGCAGTTTGTTTTCTCAAGATGCAGGCCAGGTTTGGATCTCAGTGCTCCTAGGACCGGGGCCAAGTGGAGAATGTGATGGACATTCTGATCTTGGGGAAGCAGCTGGGGTTGGTACTACAAGTAGACCTTTTCTGAAAATATCTTCTGGTTGCCTGGGGCTGTATCTGGGGGCTCACATGTTGTATCACTTTGGGCAGGTGGTCCTTGGGACTTTCCATCTCTAAAAGGTGAGGATCATAAATCCTCCGTGCTTCCTAGGGCTGCTGTGAATGTTCAAGGCTGTAACCTGGGTAAGTTGTTTTGCCTGGTGCCTGGCACACAGTAAGCCCTCACATGTACTGAATGGCATTGTGATAACAAAACCCTTATAGTGATGGTAACATCCAATATTAATGTATTAATAAAATCTTAAAAAAAGAAGGACAGGTAATTTTCATCTAGGTGTTGCAAAAGAGCTGAGCACCAGCAGTATTTGGTGCTGAAATTGTGTCCATCAGCCCCACCCTCAACATGTTGGGGTCCCCTTGCTCCTTGTTAGGGAGAGTGAGTATGGGTGGCTTTGGAGTCTGGTACCCCAGAGATCTGTGAAAGGGATCTTCCCTGGGGGTGCTTGACTGACCTCTGAACAGTTCCATGGTTATTTGGTGGGAGATCGGCACTGGACAGAGGGGGTCCCCCACCCTACCTCAGTCCCTCTGGTTTTCCAGTCAACCGGCTCTTGAGTGATTTTCTGTTCCAGGCTTGTGCTTGGTTGGTCCTTCCTTCCTTCCTGCAGCCAGACTGGATGCCTCTCCTCGCTTTACCTCCTCCTAGCTTGTGACCTTGAATGTGCTCCGTAGCCCCTCTGAGCCTCCGTTTATGCAGCTGTTAAGACAAGGATAATAACTTCATAAGGCTGATGTGTGGATCAAGTGATTCAGTGTGTGTGAAGCACATGCAGAGTGCTTGTGGGTAGTGAGTGCTAAGTACACAGCAGCTGCTTTATTGTTTACTGTCTAGAGTCCTCCCAGCAACCCTGAAGTGAGGCAGTAGTTACCATGGTCCCAGGTAAAGGAACTGAGACTCAGAAGTGAGTACCCAAGGTCACACAGCCAGTGCAAAGAAGTTGTGAGTTGAAATCTGTTGTGTGATTCCATTGGTCTCCCCTGCATCTGTATATGTGTGTATGTGTGTGTGTCTGGATTCTGAAATTACCTGCTGCCCTTTGCAGCCTATGATACAATTGACCTTTCTTGCTTCCTTCTCTTACTTTTTTCCAACTTACCTTCCTTCTCTCCTTTCTGCTTTCTTTCCTTTCTTCTTTCTGTTTAACTTTATTAACTGGATTTGGTGGCTGCTTACTGAGTCTTTGTGCATGTTGTTCTCTCCCCAGAGCAGCCTTCTCCCCTCTGCCTGGTCCTTCAGTTCTCACCTCTTCCTGGAAGACTTCTTTGCCCCCATTCTAGGCAGCACTAAGAGACATCCTCTAATCTGAGCTGTCCTTCCCTGTGGACTGATAGAAGAATATCTCAGCACAAAGTACTCTGTATTACTTATTTTTGTACCCATCTCTTCCATGAGCTTGTGAGGTGCTCAAGGCAGATGAGCCCTCCTAACACCAGTTTTTAGTTCAATAAGCTTGTCATACATTTGGAAAACTCAGGTTTGAAGTCATAGTTTTTTATTTTGTTTTCAGGGAGGAGACTTACAGTTTAGAGATTACCGCATGTATTAA